CAGCCAGGCCCAGACGCCCGGCTGCTCCGCACCGCTCGCGGGGACCTCCGCGGCCACCAGGTAAGCCTCCCCACCCCCACCCTGACTATGGTCCCAGGGGCCCCGAGCAGGGCCAGCCCCCTCCGCTGCCTGGGATCAGTCACCTCCAGGATCCGTGAGTCCCCACATCCCTGCACGCCAGGAGGTGATCTTCCCACTCGACGGCCGGAGAAATTGAGGCTGCCCAAGGTCACACAGTCCCCTGCACGGCCGCCTTTCCAGAGCCTCCCCGGAGCAGTGAGGAGCCTGCGGGTCGGAACTTGGTCTGAACTCCCTCTCCAGGCCTTCTATGCTGTCCCTTTCGAAGTCCCATTCAGGACTCTGCCCTGGGCCCCCAGAAGCCTCTCCCGGCGCTGACACCGCCCTCCGCCTGCCGCCCCGCCCATCTTATCTAACTCTAGAGCCGGACTCCTTGCGGGGGTGGAAAAGCCAGGGCGCGCTGTGCCTGATCCCATTTCATTTCGGTGGCCGAGACCTAGTTTCCATTCAGAACTGCAACACAGCTTTTCCTTACAGAAAAACCCCCGACTATCAGTTTGTGTTGCTGCCTGAATGGGTCTGTAAAGAAAAGCAGGAGGCAGAGGCCTGAGAAGTGAGGATCCAGGGCCTGGAGTCCCGGTGCTTCCAGCTTCCTCGCCCAATTTGAATGGGGCCTTTTGTACCACCCTGTGACCTTCAGCCTCCCGCTTGTCTGCTGACCCTGTAGCTGCAGGCCAGCGTCTGGGGAACAGATCTGCACCCCGGAGCCCGCGTGGCGGGGGCGGGGACGTTGGTGGTTTTCCAGTGGGTAACAAAGAGGTTTGGCCCATGCCCTTAGCGTACCTCCCGCAGAGACAGTGCAATCCTATCCTCCTACCCACCAGCCACAGCTGCCTCCTGGTGTCTCTGCAGGCCCCAGCCCCGAGTCCCTTCCTTCAGGAAGCCTCTCCTGACCAGCAGAGATGTCTTGGGCACCTGTGGGGGGCTCCCCTCAGCCCCTGGATGTGGATCCTCTCTGCATTCATCATCTGCAATGGCTCCTTGCCTCACTTGGTCTCTTCTGTCAGGCCCTGAGTGACATGAGTCTGTATTATGGGGATGAGCATGGGGTCTTGGATTCCCCAGATCTCGGTTTCTTATTGTAGTTCTGGAACCTGGATCAAATCCACTCACTCTCGTGTATCTCAGTTTTCCCATCTGTAAAATGGGATGTTCATCATCACACTTCCTAGTGTAGAAACAAGATGTTGACACGTGACATGTGGTACATCCTAAATTAAAGCTAGCGATTGTAATCACGGTAAATATGTACAGTTCCAGGAACCCAGGAGCTGTCCTTGTTTTCCCTGCCCTCTGATAGGGAGTAGGGTGGAATCTGGGTGAGATCGGAACCTCACAGGACTTCAGAACAGAAGATCCTCATCTCCCTGAGAAACGCTTCCCAGGTGACCTGGAGCCGAGGGAGGGTATCAGGCTTGGACCAGCGCCCAGCACCTGCCTGCAGCTCTGGCTTCCCTTTTTAAACCCCCTCCACCAGACCTACCTGGCCCCCGCCCTCATCCCACTTGGTGTTTCCCCTGTGTTTTACTTCTGCGTTTGCTGTCCCCGCTTCCCACCGCCCTATAGGCTCCTGGCAGCTTTTGCCAATTCTGTTCACTGCTCCACCCCCTACGCTTGGAGCAGTTCCTGGCTTAGGAAGACATTGTGAAATCGTGAGGAACAGAGTATAGTTGTTCAAAGCAAAGTCCTAGGAAACCGCCCCAGCTCGGACAGTTAATTCCTGTGTGATCCCTGCCAGGTTACTCAACCACCCTTTCTGGACCCCCAGGGTCCTCTCCTGGGCCCCCGGGATCCTCTCTGTCACGTGAGGATGTCAGTAGTGCCTCTCTCAGAGTGTTGTGAGAATTATATGAACTAATATTTGCAGAGTACCTGGAACCCTGCCTGGTACAAATTAAACATAATGTAGGGCCATTTAGTATTTATTAAATGAATGAAAACAAGTGTCACCCTACAAAATGTGATCACCTTGCAGATGAGGCCATCCACACTCGTGTATGAGAACATTTGAGGATGTACAGAAAATACAATGCCACAGGTGCTCAGGGCAGCACCTAATGCTTTGCACGTCCTTAAGGTATTGTCTCTTCGATTCCTGTGGTTTAGCTTATTTAGTTTCCTCAAAGGTGAAGAAGAAAAAGGTACGGCTCAGGGTGCCCCACACCCTGCAAGAGTAGCCATTCCTAAAGGAAGGTGCTTTTCCAGAACATCCCAGAAGGAAAACTGTCCCCACCTCCTTTGCCTTGTAGCCAGGGCCACCTCCCCTCCCCTCCCCTCGGCCTCCTGTCTAGCCCTGCACCCCAGCCACAGTGGCTGCTGGGAGCTGGGCTCTTTCTGATAAACGAGCCCCACCCTCCCGTCCCTGCAGATGGGGTAGCTGCCAGAGCTGATGGGAGGACAGCCGAGGACCCCTCCCTAGGCTGATGGTGCTGAGTCGCTTCACTTCCGACCCTTGACACTGGCCCAGCCCGTCAGTTGTGTAGCCCTCTGTCTAATCACAGACTCATAGCTGGCTCTGCTGAGGGCCCTTTTGTCTACACCCACTAATTTGGCAAATGGTCTTCTTGCCATAAAAGAAAAATAAAAAGGCCGCCAGATTGCCAGCTACAGAATAAGTAGCATCTACTGCCTGACGGTGGTGGAATGAACTATGAGGGACAGTTTCCTGGGGGGCTTTGTTTGTCTGTTTTTGGTTTTGTGTTTTGAGACAGGATCTCGCAGTGTAGTTCAGGCCGGCCTTGAACTCCATGTGTTGCCCAGGCTGGCCTTGAATTCACAAGGATTCTCTTGCCTCAGCCTCCTCAGTGTTCCTGTTGGTTTTAAAGAGGGTGGCCCAGAAAGGCCTCACTGAAGGGATCACTAAAGTCGTATTTGTTAAGGACCTGAAGGCAGCGGGGCGAGGGAGAAGTACATATTTGCATTTCTATTTGAGATACGCACAACAGAGAAGCAGTGGAGGACCCGGGCCCCCATCCTGTGCTGGCAGCCCAGAGAGGTTGCCAGGTGAGCAGGGTCCCCTGACAGCCCTGGCTGGCACCTTAGCGTCCCCCCCCCCCGTGAACTGATGACAAATCCCTGTCTATAAAATCAGATGCTGAGCACAGACACGGGTGCTCATGGAAAAGCTCTCCAGGTCCTCAACACTTTGCCACGCACAGGTGGACGACGCTCGGGCCCCTGGAGGTTGGAGAGACGTGCAGCATCGCAGGTGGGCTGTGCTCGTGTCGCCACTGCTTCAGGCTGCACGGCAAGGGCAGGCCCAGGTGTGTCAGCGAAGCTGGTGGGCTTGAAGGCCGCTGCTTGGGCACCCCGTATTCTTTCTTTTCCTCCTGGGGTCCTAGGCCCAGTGTCCCTTCCCTTTACCTCTGCACAGGATGGCTCAGGCAGGCAGCAGCCCAGCTGCAGGATCTGTAACTAGAGCCGACCTGCAGGCAGGTGCTCGCCACCTGCTGCGCTGAGCTCTGAGGACCGTCATGAATTGTGTAGCTACAAGTGCTCAAGGCCAGGGGTTGTGGCGCATGCCCGTCTCCCAGCACTCAGGAAGCTGAGGCAGGAGGATTGCTACAAGTTCGAGGCCAGCGTGGGCTACATAGCCAGACCCTGTCTCAAACAAAGAAGAGTCCTCTCTTATTGAGGTTTCTAATCAAAGTACAGTTGGTTGTTTTTTGTTGTTGTTTCATGTTTTGATTGTTTCTCCCAAACATTTCCGGCTCAGTAGGTGATCAGTAAATGTTAACAGATCAATACTAAATGCCACACACAGCGAATTATTTCTTGCCAAATCCTAATCAGTATATTGCCCGGGAATTGGCCCTCCATTGAATGAATAAATCTGTTTCAGGCCTGACATATAAATGTGGCACCACAGCCTTGGCTCCTGGAGGTCTGCTCCCTGCCCTTCCTCGGTGCGGCACAGCACGGCGATCCTGTGCTAACCTTGCTGATGTCAGGCGGATGCATCGACCCCTCCGAGCCCACATCCCTCCTCTGTGAAGTGGGAAAGGCAGTAGCTGTCGAGAGGAAGGAAGAACTGGTGGAGAAAACGCAGCAGAGGCCTGCTTGGCTCAGGGAAAGTGCTCTCTAGAGGATGGCTGCTGTCCCCAAGCAAAGCAGCCCTGGGGTTTCAGTCACTCTTGCTGCCCTGACCAACGGGGGTCACAGGCGTTTATCTCACAATCCCTAGGGGGCAGACGGCCCGCAGGAGTCTCTGGGCTAAAGGCAGGTATCAGCAGGGCTGGTTCCTTCGCTCGCTGTGGGCCCGTTCCTGCCATTTGCAGTTTCTGGAGGCTGCCTGCACTCCTTGGCTATGGGCCTGGCCTCTAAAACCGGCAGCACCAATCTTCAGGTCTGACCCTGCATCCTTTCCTCCACCTTCCTTTCCCTTACAAGGACCCTTGTGGAGTAATCCAGGAAATCCAGGGTAATCCAGGACAGTCTCCGCATCTCAGGATCCTTGACCACATCTGCAAAATCCTTCTGCTGTGTAAGGTGATAAAGTCACAGGTCAGGGGTTTAGACCCGGTCATCTCTGAGACGTCATTCTGCCAGCTGTATACACTCCGTAGCCTTTGGTCTCTCAAGAGAGAGAATGGCCTTGGGCTAACCTCGTGCCCCCTTTGGATTGTGCACAGGACCCCAGCAGAATCCCCGAGACATCAGGCAGCGATGCCAGCGGCACACAGAGCAAGCAAAGCAAGTCGCAGCAGCTGAGAAAGATTTTCCAGGAATATGGGGCCGTCGGTGTGTCCCTGCACATTGGGATCTCATTACTCTCCCTGGGCCTGTTTTACATGGTCGTTTCAAGGTGAGATTTTTCAACAGTGATAAATATTTGTCTTTTTTTTGGGGGGGGGTTGAGACAGGATCTCACTATGTATTGAGACTGGCTTGGAACTCACTATGTAGCCCAGGCTGGTCTCGAACTCACAGCGATCCTCCTGCCTCAGCCTACCGAGTGCTGGGATTACAGGCGTGCGCCACCATGCTCGGCAGTAAATATTTGTCTTTTACTGCCATATAAAGATGCCCTCAAGTGAGAACTTTTTTCACCCAGATACTTTTAGCACATCTTAAAAATACTGTAAATCTTCGAGCCACATTGATTTCTTACTCCGTCGCTGTAATGATTGTTTTGCCTCTTTCCCTCCCAGTGGTGTAGACCTGTCTGCAATCCTGCTTAACCTTGGATTCAAAGAGTCGCTGGTGCAGTCAAAACTGGCAGCAGGCACAGGTACCTTTGTGGTGGCCTACGCCGTGCACAAGCTGTTTGCACCCGTGAGGGTCAGCATCACCCTCGTCTCCGTGCCCTTCATTGTCAGATATTTGCGGAAAGTGGGACTTTTTAAACCGCCAACGGCAAAGCCTTGATGAACACTTCAGTTGCAGGCACTGAAAACCTCCTTTTCGATTGTACAGTTTGGATTTTTAGGGTCGTGAGCTTTGCTCATTGCTATGTTCTCACAGATAAAGCTTACCGTTGCCACCAAAAATCAGGTTTTTGAATAATGATAATTTTAGGCTTTATAAATTTTGCTAATGCTACTCACGGTAGGGCTATGCACACAATCTGAAATGTTAGCATCACAAATGAGTTAACGTCTCAAAATTAAACAGCCTCCTAAATGTTCCTTCTAGAAGGTCCTAGGTGGGTCTGTCTGCAAAAGCCCTGGGGGTTCCTCATGCTCACGTTCTTTAAAAGCAATGATTAATTTAGCCGGCTCTTAAAATTCCCCTTCCTTTGATGTGTTGTCAGCAGCCTGCAGTTTAATGTGCAGTATTCTGCAAAACAGCTGCCAGCGCTACAATTAATGAAGCAAAAGTTAACAATTTTATGTGATTGTAATCTAAATTAGCGTCAGCCCTTTGACATACATTACACTTGTTCTGGGGAAAGAAAACAAGTACTTCCGGTGTGTTTCGCTGATCCCTAAACACCTCCAAATGTGGCCATCTCTGAGTTTGAAGTGGTTTTTCTGAAATTTCATTAAAGTGGGGCAGGTCACTTGTCTGTTTACGTGAGGTGGGAAAACCTTGCCCATTAGTAATGGAACCATGTGGCTTCTGAAGCCTGCGTTCAGACTTTGGATGCCACACATACGAAAAGATCATCTTAGCCCTTTCTGGACAATCTTTCTCTCATTTCAAACTTCAGACATTCCAGAATTGCCACAATGTTTACATTGTGTCACTATATATATATATATATTTTTTTTTAAACTGAACTAAAATTATATACATGAAAGACTTGTACTACTTCCCAGAAAGGAAAGTCAGTAGCACTTGTTATAAATAGAAGACAACCATGAAATAATATTTATGCAAGCTGGGAAGGAAAAGAGGCTGGCAGATATCATTAGTCCACCAAGCTGGTTTTGGAGATTAGAATTCAAGTACAGAGACCCTAACTTCTGGCTTCCTCCTCTTGGTAGGTGGTTCGGACTTTTCTACTGGGAACTCAGGTTTATTAAATCTGCCATGCCGAATGGTTGAGGGAGTGCTGTCTTTATCTTTCTGGCTTGCAACTCTTATCTTTAAAAAATTATTTCCGTGACAGTTAGGAAACTAAAGAAACCATTAAGTGTTGGTTTTACCGTGCTGTGGTTGTGGACAGTCCCCTAGTTAAACCATAATCACCTATGCCAATCAGTTATCTTGATTAACATTTAAAAGGATTTTTATGGAACGTTCTCCACTTGCAAAATTCCTTTTTTTTTCCAGTACTAAGGACCTTGTGTTTGCCAGGCAGGTTCTGTGTGACTGAGCTACATCCCGGGTACAAAATTACTTTAAAATGGAACTTTTTGTTTTCCTTTCAAAGCCACTGGCACATTGCCAGCCTTTCTGGATTTAAAGCTGGAACTGCCTTTCTGGGATCGAATTCCCAGGATATCTCCAGGTCAGCTCCGCATGCCCGGTGACACCAGTGATAGTTTCTTATATGGACCAGACAGAAACCTTCCCATCTCATCTTGTATTTAAACAGTGGCTTGTTCACTTTGGGCTCCTATTCCCCATTTATACCAGTGCAAAATGCCTATGCAAAAAAAGCTGAAAGCCCTAAAATGCAGGGGCTTAAATCTCAATCTTTATGCGTTAGGAGTAATAGGAGTGGACCGCAAGGGCGAGCAATAAAACAAATCATACCAAATAGCCATATCATGATGTTCTAAACCCCAAACCCACTCCACTCCTGTGGCCAGTAGCCAAAACGGGGGAAAAAAATGGATAAGGTCAAAGACCAGGGAACTACAGTATTATGTGAATTCACCAGCAAGATACAGACTGTATTTACACTGTTTTTAATGGAATTAGGGGAATGATCTATTTTAAAAATGTAAACCAGTCTGCTTCTAATTTTTTAATCTGACAAGGTGAGCAGTTTAAGTGAAACAAATAAACATCTTTATAAAGTTTGTGAAGGTTCTTTCTCATTCAATGTCTTAGTCACTTTTCTGGTCTCTGGGACAAAATACCCAGCACCCACAGCTGACGGAGAGGTTTGTGTGGGCTCATGTTTCAGAGCAAGTCAGCTGGCTCCAAGGTCAGGGATCACGCCCGTGACCCGCCTCTTCCAACCAGACCCCGTTGTCTAGCAGCAAGTCAGCCATGCTGCCCCCCGTGGTCAGTCACCTTTCAGGAGCCCCCCTCTGAGTGCCTGGGGCCCAGGGGGTACATCTGGATATACACCGTGACATCTGGTGTGCCATGACCGTTGCTAAGTTTGTACAGCACTGGGACTGGAGTGCTGGCCTTCATGGTACTGGGTGGGACTCTGCTGGCAGAAATGCCCCAGGCTCGGGTGCCACTAAAATCATGGCGCACGGACTATAGCTTGGATACTTGTCATGTGACTACCTTGGGACTGTAAAAGTAAGCTCAGCACCAGGCCAGGAACGAAAAGCCCACTTGTTCCAAGGAGCACAGCAGTTTTCACATAGTTGTGTTTTTAAGTTTGACAGGTTGGTCCCTTGGCCGTTCCTTTATGTTGTGCAGTTTTATATTTTGACCTAGCTGACATCTAGTCTGTCGCACCGGGTCAGACAGGAAAGCCTGTTTCTCTACTTGTTCAAAGTACAGCACTTCTCCCTTCCCAGGGTCAAGCTTACCCTTCAGGTGATAGCACAAACGACAGGTTTGTGCATAGTAACCTGGCAGCTGTAAACTTTACCTAGTAGGAAGGAGCACATCCACAGACCAGAGTAATGTTAGATCTGCACCTTCCCAGACCAACAGTAAACAGGTGACGGAAATAATTACCCATATACTCCAGGTAGAGCGGTATATTTATTTATGCATTTAACAAGTCTGCACACATGCCATAACTCCAACGCAATCACAAGAGCCCTTAACATTTAGGAAAAGTTCTGAGACGTCTGGTCTCGGGAGCTGCTTGCGTATCCCAAGCGATCCCTGAGACAGAGGTAGAGCATGTGTTCCTGTTTCATAGTGGTTAAGGAGGGCCAGAAGCCCAGACAGGCTTAACAGGGGCGATCAACTGAGGGCATCCCTGAGGGATGCACGGAAAGAAAATACTATACAGAAACCTTTCATATTTAAAGAATCACATATTCGTTTCAACCTTTCCCAGGTTTGACCACCCAATAAGTTACACACACACTCGGGTACTCGACGGTTACTGTGCAGCGCGTTAGCTGACTGACTCAGAGGAAAGCAGTCACTTTCCCCGGAACCAGACTCCGAGTTCTCACACAGGACACCCTGCCGGCACAGGCTGTGGACGTGGCCTCTGGATTAGGAACCTGGTAAAAGCAGCATGATTCTCGAGGCGCCTTCACAGAGTGTCACGTCTCCTGCAGGGGAGCTTCGTGAACAGGGAGGCCAAGGCACTGCAGGCTGGGGAGAGAAAGTGACGCTTCCTGTGGCGCTGTGAACCGAAGGTGGGCAGTCAACAGTAACGCAAGTCTGGGCGCACGTTCCCGAAGGTTACACAGCAGCCCTGGCTCAAGGATTTCTGCCCCCACACGATTAAGATGATTTGCTAGTTGACTCTTTGCTTTTCTGGCAACTTGATGGCTTGGTCGAATTTGCTGAGATCCACGGGTGTTCAAGGACTTCACTAAGAGTCGGCCTCTGGCTTGGGTTATGCTTTAGCAGCCTTGAAATAAAGTCCCGGGCTCCCTCTGTCACAAAGTCAGGGAATGTGAATTCAACCTGGAGTACAAGTGACAAAAGGGCACAAAGCACAAGTAAGAGACACCAAACTGTATAAATAGTCACACCTCCGCGGATAGGGGAAGAATCTATAAGCACTGCTGGGTTCTTTTCAGTGACGTCTTACCCGAGATATCCTCTTGTAGGTCTCCTGGTGAGTGTGTGCCTCAAAGGGGGGCTTCCCGACTAGAAACTCATAGCAGAGGACTCCGAGGCTCCACAGATCCACCTTCTCATCGTGCATGCGGCCTTCAATCATCTCCGGGGGCAGGTAGTCCAGGGTTCCACACAGAGTGGTTCTCCTAAAAAGGGAGGCTCGGATTGATGTGTTCTGCTTTTGTCCTCAGCTATGCTAAGAAGGGCTGAGGGTGCACCTGGCCAGATCCGGTGTTGTGACGTAGGTACATCAAAAATCCCCACACTTAGATAGCAAACAGGCTAAAGGAAATGTGTGAGATCACACAGCCAGCACCCAGGCCTCACCGCATCTGTCCAACTCCAGAACCTCCTTGGATAATCTAGCAGAAACTCAAATCATTTTGATACAAAAGATGCCGTGCAGAGTTCTCTAGAAATACAATTTGAAGTTCTAAGCTAACACCAAGTTAAGAGACACCACAGTCCAAAAAACACACTTAAAAATGTAAAGGCTGGTCTAGATTAAGAGCAAAGAGATACAACACCAGTGCATGGAACCTGGCTTGGGATCGTAAAGAGAACTGTGACATTTCATGGGCAGCAGGGGAGATTTGAACATGGACTAAACATTCAATATTAAGGAAGCTGTTAGCTTTCAAAGGAAGGTAGAATTATGTTTTCAGGATATGCATACTGCAATGCTCAAGGATAAAGCATCATAATAAAAACATCATGATGATAAAAGTTAGGCAGATGGGACACAGGTCCTGAAGAGTTGACCTAAAGTAAACTAAAAGTTGGGGCCTATGTGAGTTGACACAACAGAGGGCCCAGATAATCAACTAAGGCAAACGGATCACCAGGGCCTAATGGAGTGCAGAGGACACAGAACACGTCCCTAAAACAATGGGAGACCTTGGGGGACAGCAGCTCCCTTTCCAGACATCGAAAGGCCTCGCTCAACCAGGAGCGCCCTGCATTCTGTCGCATTCGCCTATGTGAAAGGCTCTATAAAAGAGCCAGTGGACTTAAACATCCAGTGTCCAACAAGCAGGGCAGTTTTTTCCTTTTCTATTAAATACACAGTCCTTTCCCCACCGCTCGCTGCGTGCTGTTTTGTCGGCTTCAGACTTCGTTGCCCCAAAACAAGGACCAGATCCCAGCACAGGGGGGAGCTGATTAACAGCATCATAAAAATAAGCTTATTTTCAAATGTGGGCGAAAAAGCAGCCACGTGTTAGGGATTGTTGAATGGCTCACTGGGTGGACTGCTGCGCTCCCACCAGCTGCCACTCGGACTCCGACCACAAAGGCTGGAAATAAGCTGGGGTTGGCGCACATCTGGCCAGCAGATCCTGGGGGGCTACCACACTGAACACGACTGTGTCTACCTTATTGGTACCGGGGGTTGGTGGTTGGGGGCTAGGAGAACTGATTTTCTGTTAAGTTCTGCTTTAATTAACCTTGTAGCCCCATGAAGCCGGCAATTTTTTGTTGTTTGTCCCCCGGGGTCTGAACAATCAGTGAAATACAGACCATGCTTTGCTAGAAACAAATGGAAATGACCTGCAACAAAAAACAGTCTCTTCCCACGCCACCGTGTCATCTATTTTAGGCGGTAGTTTTGTTTTGTTTTTTCCCCTAGCTGGCTTTATTTTTAAAAAGCTCCTCTGGTGATAATTAAGTCCTTCAAAGTTAACAAGCTCTAATCGGATACATGATTTAAAATGCCTCACTCGCATGAACTGGTAAAGCTTTTTCAAACCCAAACTAAATTTAAAATTGAAGTGCATCTCTTAGCTCTTGTTTGGGAAGTTCACTGATGACTTAATTTCATTATGTTGATGTCTCTGCCACAGCCGTGAGGGAGGTGTGTGTGGGGGTAGAGGGGGTGACAACAAGAAAGAACTGTTCCTACTCTGGACATAAGCTGATCAGAGTCTCTAACCACCTCTCTCTCAGCTCCATCCAAACCGATCTGGTTTTCAAAGTTCCCAAAAGAACTGCACTCTTGGCTGTGGATTTCTGTACTGCTATTCTCTGGATCTTTTCCCACCTTCTTATCCTGTCTCCAACCCACCACCAAAGTAGGAGTTCTTCCCCCTGCAATCTGTATTTTAACTGTCATGTACTTGTCCCATCTGTTGACTGTGTATCTACTTCATTAACCTCTAAGAACATTAAGCATCTTTAACCCCACACCTAGAAATACCACAAATAGCCCAAAGTAGTCACAAAATAAAATGAAATTAATTTATTATGAGGCCTAAAATATTCCAGAGTATTTCCAGGTGAAGTCACCTGCCTCAATTCAGTGTAAAAATCTACTCTTGAACTTTGATGTTTTCTTCATGATTTAGTTCATGATTGGACTGTACAACTCCCACCTCTGAAGTTACATACCTGGAGGACGGAGCATGAACTGACCACCCAAAATCTGCAATCTTCAGCTCTCCAGTCGATCCCAGCAGCAGGTTCTCTGGTTTAATGTCTCTATGAATAACTCTCTTGGAATGACAGTAAGACAGGGCATTGGCCAATTCCGTGATGTACTGTTGAAAAAACATTGAAAGCCTGCGTTTTAGATTTTATATAACACAATATTAGACATCTCTTCTGAAAGAAAATCCAACATGAATTTTAGCATGTTTTGCAAGTTTTAAAGCAAACACTATAGAAATGATGGGTAAGTCTACAAAAATCAATCGAACCAATTTATAGTGGTTACCATCAAGTTATTCATAACTTAGTTATGTCTTTGCTAATACAGCAATACCTCAGTTCACAAATGCTTCAGAAACTACAAAGAAGCTGGAGAAGGAGCACAGTGCAGAGACAAAGGACAAAACAGTCCAGAAGACTCACCCCAGGTCCAAGGGAGGGGGCTTGCTCTCTGATATGAGGTAAGCCCAGAGAGGCTTGGCAGTTCCAATTATGGACTGGACCAGCAGCGTGAGCCCCAAGAGCCCACAGTTATTGTAAGCAGCAAAAGCAATGTGTGGCTTTACTCTGAAACTGACTCCTTCCATAAGGCAGGCTAGAGATGGAGAAGAAATCCTACAGTGCCCACCATATTTCAGAGGGGTAAATTAGGAGACATTTTGGGAAGGGGTTACGACCGAGCTATAAAACAACTTCATGACAACTCTTCATGACAAGCCTTCAGGGTTGCCAGGGTCGCCTACCACAGTGACTGGGTAAAACAGCCACAAGAGACAGTCACAGAGAGGGCGGGAAGGTCACAGGAGCTCCATCTCTGTGGTGAGAAGCCAGGCTGGTCTTGTATGGCTTTCAGAGGCAGCTGGGTCTGAGTGCTGGCATTATGTCCAGAGGTCTGCTTGAGCACCCACTCCACTGCCTACGTCCAGCACAGAACGTGGTGGTCTCTGCTTTCTCCAGCTACCAGCACGAGAAAGGTCACACCTCACCGTGGTGGCAGTCACAGCCTGGTGTGTACAGACACAGAGGCCTCAAGCAGAATGGGGGCACCTCACAGAACCACAGGCCACAAAGCTGGGCGGAGAAAGCTGTGACTGTGGTACACAGGGCGACACGGAAAGCGGGAGCTGCTGAGTAATTACAGCCACAGGGCAGGTAGCATTAACCCATCACACCTGCGGGAAGGGGTCAGGGTTTACATACACACAGTTGAGTGTGGAAACAAACCAGGTCTTAGCAGGGACTCATCACCCACATCTGGGGGATTTCAACATGGTGGCCCTCCAGAGAAACCACTCACTCAAAACACAGAGGAACTATTTTTTCTGCACTGTGTTTTCCTTCGCTGTTTTTTTGTTTTGTTTTGTTTTTTAGTTTGGGGCTTTTTTGTTGTTTTTACTTCTTTTTTCTTTTTCTTTCTTTTCTAATACTTTATCTAATTCTATTAATTTTATTTTATGCCTCAATAGGATCCTTTCTCATTTTCTTGCCTCATCTGTTTTCAAATTTTACTTCTTTCATTTTCCCATTCCGCACCATGTCTATCTTTACTAGTATAATCATTAAGCTTTATTAACCTTTAGATATTTAGTTAATGCTATTAATGTTGCATTCTTTTCTACTCTTAGTGGCAATACAGTTTTTGTATTTAGTATGTATTCACTATATGTTGATACTTGATTTATCTTTTTGTCTATATGCATCAAACACTGACACATCCAGCTTCATAAAATAAGCACTACTGGACAAAAAAGATCGGCCGAACATCAATACCATTATAGTGAGAAACTTCCGTACTCCGCAATTACAAACAGATCATTTAGACACAAAAATCAACAAAGAAATATCAGAAAGGAACCACAGCTTGGAACCAAAGGACTTAACAGGTATCTACAGAGTGCTCCACCGAGCAACAGAATTAGACATTCTTCTCAGCACAGCATGTAACTTTCTCCAAAGTAACATCACATACAAACCCACAAAGCATGCTTAAGTAAATGCAAAAGAATCAAAATTATTCCATACACATTGCCAGAATCATGGTGCAAAGAAACTAGAAGTCAATGGCAAAACAAACCCAGAAATTATGCAAGCACTTAACTGAACAATATACTTTGGATAATCAACGGATCACAAAAGAAATCAAATAATTAGTCCCTAGACTCAAATAATTATGCCAAAATAACATGTGCTACAAACATGTACTAATAAAACTCAAAAACAAGAACAAAAACAAACAGCAGGGGTTATGGCTCAGTGTGAAATAAAAGCCCTGAGTTCAATTCCCAGTACCCCCCCCCACAAACACAAAATAGGAGAATTAGGTATGGGGTATATGGAACTATCCGTACTATCTTAATGATGTCTATAAATCTCAAACTGTTCTAAAACAAACGTTAAAAAATAAAGAGGGCCATTATATACATTTCCACAGAAAAATTACTGAAAACTTACCAACCAAAACATTCTACTGGACACCCGATTTAATCTGCGTGTATGGTTCATCTGAGCTAGTCTGATTTTTCTATTCAAACATTTGATCCTGTCAAGCCGTCTTCCCATTAAGTCAGAATCTACTCTACTGTAACGAGAAGCTCGTTATAATGGACAGGTGTAAAGAGAACAGAATGAGCCTGGACAGTAAACGAAAACTTACAGTAGCAGTTCTCCGCTCATCAAACGTGGAAAGTCTCTGCAGTTCTCTGTAGACTGTTCCAAGGGGTGCATATTCCAGAATTAGATAGACTCTCGTGGCGTCATGGAAATAACCATACAGCCGGAGAATGTTAGGGTGCCTGCAACAGAGGATGAAGATTGTAATGCTTCGCTTTGGAGCTGACACTACATTAGGTACAAAATACTGAAATGAACCCCTCATGGAAATAAAACCACTGTTGTTTCACCCCCCACATGAGAATCTGAGACCACAGGCCCACACTAGTACATATAAGCAAATAGTTTCACATACATTTCAGTATCAGTGGACCTCAGGTTAATACTATTATTTCCTTCTTCATACTTGGGGGAGAAACTCAGCTAATTATTCATTTCTGTATATTAAAAAAGGAACAGTGTTCACACAATAGTGTGATATGCAAACATAAGAGACAAAAGCACAGTGCACACCAGGCGTGACGGCGCATACCTCCAACCTCACGCTTTGGAAGGCTGAGGCAGGATGATCAGCAAGCTTGAGCCTAGCTTGAGGAACTTAGTGATGTAACAAGACCTGGACTCAAAATAAAAACTGTTAAAAACGGCTGAGGATGCAGCTCAAAGTGAAGGCCTTGGATTCAAAGCCCAGTACCGCACCCCCGCAGAAAAAAAAGAAAAAGTGCGTGGCAGCAGAAGAGGCGTGGAGCACAGAAGCATAGCCTCACCACCCCACCTGCGGCTCCCACCTCAGCGGATGCAGGGTGGATACAGGATGATGGGTGCTGTTGACCTTAAGTATTAGCATCTGATTCAAATTTGAATGCCCTGATAGCAAAAAGGAAAAAAGAAAACCCCACTACTGACCCAAGTCAAGCTACGGGCTGTGAAATGCAACTTCTGGTCCCCTCAGAATAAACGTTGTTCATCCCGACAGACAGACACACAGACACAGACACACACACACACACACACACACACACACACACACACGAACTGGTCCGGGTAATCTATTTCATTAATACAACATTAAATCCTCAAGTGATTTTTCAGGGTAATCTATTTCATTAATACAACATTAAATCCTCAAGTGATTTTTCAGGACCATAGCTCTAGACAAACCCTTGGCAAGTGATAAATTCAGTCATTCTTCACAACACTGTGAAGCAAGCACTCTAAAAAGCAGTTCAGGGCCGGGGGATTTGGCTCAGTGGTGCCGCCGCCTGCTCACAAGCGCAAGGTCCTGAGTTCGATCCCCGGTACCAAATAAATAAGTAGCAAGCAGTCCCTACTGTAACTCTGACTTTCGGCACAGCAGTGTGACACTCACCGAAGGTGGGACTGTATCTCTACTTCTCTTCTGAGCTGATGCTCCACTCCTGCTTTCTCCAGCTGAGCTTTAAACAACACTTTCAGAGCCAGGATAAACTTGCTTTGTTTTTCTCTTGCCAAATAAACATTGCCAAACTTTCCTTTACCCAATGGGCGACCAATGTCAAAATCTTCCAGAGTCCACTGTCTCCTAGAATAATGTGAACATTTTTAAGAGTGAAGGGGAAAAAAAAAATCTTTGCTCACAAGTTATCAATGATAGACACATTCTAAAATTTTACATCCAACAGTGTACTTACTAGGTATCCTCAGCAAGAACCAAGCCAACACCTAAAAAGCCACAAGCATTAAACCCCGAATTCCCCAGCTGCCATTCATGTGTGAGTCAGTGCTGATGAACAGTCTTAGTTAGATGTTTAGAGCAGAAGCTCTCAGTGAGTCCCAGAGCTCAGGAGACGGATCTATGAATCTGGACAAGCAACTGGAGAGGAGAGACCCTTCAGGGACCACAGTAGGCCTCCGCGGAAGCAGGCACCTAACGGTCTCCTGGGTGGAAAGCTGCTCCAGGAAGCACAGGGAGCCACGGTCACTAACACATACGGGAAGGTCCCCATCGGCTTCAGGCACGGGAACCCGCAGAGTGAGACTAAGAAAGCCAGCAGTGAGCTAAAACGAAGTCTCTGTCTGGGGCATCCTGGCCCTGCTCCCCCATGCCGGAGTCCAGGCCAGAGATTAAAAGCAAGCATTTAGAAAATGGAGAAGAGGGCTGGGGATTTGGCTCGGACACCGGCCTCGCAAGCACAAGGACCCAAGTTCAATCCCTGGTACCACAAAAATAAGATAAAAAATAAAATAAATAAAAAGAAGAGCAAATGGAGAGGATATCATGGCTGACCTTTACAACAGAGAACAAATGTATTAGTACTGAATGACTTTTCTTCTTTTTTGAGACAGGCCGTGTAGTCCAGGCTGGCCTTGAGCTTAGTGTGTAACCTGTGACATCAAAAAATAAAACTTGGAGCCAGGGATTTGGCTCAGTGGTTCCGCCACCTGCCTCGCAAGCACAAGGACCCAAGTTTGATCCCCGGTACCAAAAAATAAATAAATAAAATAAAACTTGTACTTTTAGCCAGGTGCGATGGTGTGCATCTATACAGCCAGTTACTGAGAAGGCTGAGGCAGAAGTATCTCTTGAGCGCAGGAGTTCAAGGCCAGCCTGGACAACCTAACACAGTGGTGGTGAAACTGTGGCACATATACCACAGCCGGCTGCTATCCCTGGAAGCTCTAAACAGTTCGTCATCACTGACCTAGTGAGACCCCAGCTCAAGCAAAAACTTGTGCTTATACTTTATACAAGAAAAAACAAAAATTGAAGCACATTTCAATCACATATACACATTTCTAAGGGCATGGACGAACCTCGTGCATTTTCCATACTAGATTATTAAATAGACACGTAACAGGTTACACCTATTAGATATAATGGATTCTCTCTAAATGTGCAATGAAATGGCATACTCTTGTAGAATATAGAACTTCAAATAATAAGAAAGCTTACTTTTTTGAGTCTTCATTTTTCGGTTTTGATTCCACTTCCTTCTCAGGATTAACTCCTATGTATAATAAGTTAAAATCCTGCTTTTAGAACAACTATATAGCTGGAGTTTTAAAATCTGACTAGAGATCTAAATCTAAGGACGGTCACCAAGATATTAACAGTATGTCAATCAAGAATAACAAAATCTAGATTTTTAAAGTTTTCTTTGGGGGAAAAAGATGACAAACCCTAACCTGCCTCTTACCACACAGTCTTTGCAGGGTTTCTAGAATACAGTAGAAAATGTACATGGTTAGGCCTTGCACCAGTAATTTAAGACTGAGACTAGGTAGCTTCTCTCTGAAGCCTCAGTTTCCAAATCAAGAGCTTCCAGGGCGGAATGACCAGCTTCCCACCCATAACAAGTGGCTACCTTGTCACTTGCTACCCGTCCCCGACGTCTCTGGCCAGCCATACAAATCATGGCATGCAATAAAACAAGCCAGCAGCCCTCACTCCAGGGAAAATGCAAAAGCCATTCAAAACAAAATAATGCAATTCAGAAAAAATGTACAACATAGTCTCAACAGGGGGCTGGAGTTACTACCTCATTAGCTGCAGAAACACGGGACCCTTCCGTTAGGCCACCTCCAATACTTCAAATCCTAATAGCACAGTTCATTCTGCTCAGGCGTTTGCATGCAGATCCAAACTGCTTTTCCCCCTTGCAGTTCACTGTTCCCTCTAAGATCAACATAACCACTGCTGGAGCTCAGGACATGCCTCGCAAAAATGTGACTGCAGAAGATCACAATGTGCCTCCTAAAGTATTTCCTTGGCATATTTTGAGCTGGTTATTTGGAAAAAATGCAGACGTAGGGAGAGCTCTGAAAAGCTGTCCTTTGGAAAAAGTAACAGCTCTAAAGGAAACTGACAGTGACTGTCAGGCAGAGGCTGCTGAGGGAAAAAGTCTTTCTCCGGAGACAAGGTCCATGTGCCCCCGTCCCTCCCCACCAGAGGACCAGCATCCCTATCCTTCTGAAGCTCAATCACCCGGTTCTTTTTTTTGTTTGTTTTTTGAGACAGGGTCTCACTATGTAGTTGAGACTGACCTGGAACTCATTATGTAGCCCAGGTTGTCTTGAACTCACAGCGATTCTCCTGCCTCAGCCTCCCGAGCGCTGGGATCACTGGCGTGCGCCACCACGCCCGGCCCTACCCAGCTCTTTTTTGAGTCCCGCAGTTTGTGTGCAAGCGGAACTGGCTGTCTACTTCAGTGTATTTTATAGGCCCACTCTCAGACCTTCTAAGGCCATGGGATGTTCTCTCGCTTCCCTAACCATCATCCCTAACTCCTCCTCACCCATCCTTTCAGATCCAGCTTCATCCCCCCACTCTCCTGAATGTGCACCCTACACGAGCTCTCAAACTTATCTGCACCTTTCTGTCCTAGCCATGCCTTAAAATCTAAGCTAACAGCTTCTTTTTCTTAGATTCTCCTCTGTGAAACCGAGTTAACAATGCTAGCGTCTTCATCAAGAGGAGGAGGACTGAACATGGCAATGCAGATGAAGGAACCATGTCTCAGGATCCGCTGTGACAAAGCACTGACCGCTGGTAAACAGTCCGTGCTAACGTCCACCCTGCCCCAGCCGGCCAGGTCACTGCCTTCTCTGACCCTAACCCTTCTTCCTCCCCACAGCTCCTCTTCCAGCACTGCTACTCTCCGACTCATCCAGCGCTTCCCCAGTAAGATTTCCAAAAGCCGCACCAGTCCCTTCTTGCTCAGAAAACCTTCAGTAATCTCCCAATGCAGAGATGGGGCCTTCCTCACCACAGCCAGCGGTGTCCGTGGTGGCCTCACCCTGGCAGGTCCCCACTGTTTCTCTGCATCCCCCCGCCACCCTGCACGCCTGAACTCTACAACTTCTCAGCTCCTCAAACGTACCCGCTACCAACACCCCGTACCTGACCCACTTACAAGTTACCCAGAGGGCTCGGATCAGATCCCCCAAAAGTACAGGGATCCGGTCTATTTTCAGAAGGCCCGGCCCCTAGACACTGCCACTCCAACACATGTCGTGTTTTCTTCTCCTCCTCTACAGAAGAGGTAGAGAAGCTAGGGCTCCAAACAATAAATGCACTGGGTTTTCTTCGTGACAGCTAGCTAGGAGAACAACACGAGAATCTCTAAAAGCTGGCTCACCGGGTGCCGGTGCCGGGGGCTGCTCACTCTTCTGGGTGTGACTCGCTGGCCGTGCGACAGGGCGGCCCCCGCTGGCCGCCTGCAGCTGCTTCTGTAGTGGTTTCTGACTGCAGAGCAGCTTTTGGGCTTGTGAAGGAGCCCGATGGGAGGAATTTGAAGGACACAAGACCCGCTGAGCCTGGCCGCCGCTTCCCGATGCTGGATTCTGAGAAGGAGGCTGCGGAGGCACCAGGACGCGCTTCGGACCGTCCCCCAGGGCGGGGGTGGCCTAGGATGCAAGGGAAAATAAGCTTTACAATCTGCGTGAGCGAAAGATGAAGGTTTTGAGAATTCATCAAAGTTTAATCAAGGAATGTCACTCAGGATAAACGGGAAAGCTGTTTTAATAAGAGTCCCCAGAGGATGCAGTTAGCAGATGGCTGAAAAGAATATCTGAATACTTCCAATCACACACACACACACACACACACACACAATCACATTCCGCGAACAAATGTTCATTACTGAACTTTCAGCCGGTCAGGGAGTCAACATTTTCTAAAAATTGTCAACGTTTTAGGAATATATTCCTAAATTTTAAAATTTGATGCCAAAATCTATTTCACTGAAATTGCTTTGATAATACGAGTTTAGAAAAGACTGACAGAAATGCACTAGTGTTCGTCGGTGCTCATCTCCAGCTGATGGCATTTGAACACCATCTAAATCGTAGTCTATAGAAGGCTTTCCACAATAAGCTTATTACTATGTCTGCCAAAATGTTTCATTTTCCACGTACTTGAAAATTCAAGTTAAGCAAAAAGAACTTTGATAATGAGGAAACAAATTAAGCTCCTCAAAAAGTTACTGCTAAAATGTAGTCTTTACACAGCTATAGTATTGTATTAAAAATTTAAATAGTCAACTAGGCCGAGGATGTAGCTCTGTGGTGCTGCTGCCTGCCTCGCAAGCGCAAGGTCCCGAGTTCGATCCCCAGCACCAAAAATAAATAAATAGTTAATTAAGATCCTGAGTTAAACACACTAAAGTGAGGGGTGGGTGGGAGTCTCCCCACCCAGGGGCCTCTGCTGGAAACCCAAGGCTCAAACTTTGGCAGCAGCTCATGTACCAGCTCGGTACCGGGCATGGAAGACTTCAAAGACAGTCAGTTATTTCTGAAACAGGCATGGCATGCAGACAGATCCTGCGGTGTCGGAGGGGATGTGCAGTTACACCACAGTAATTCCAGAGTCCCATGTGCATTTTATAAATGTGACTGTGATTATGGGTAAGTTAGTTTACCTTCACAGGCCCTGAAATGCAGTTTTCTTTAGATCGGTCCATGATGCCTGAAAAGAAAGAGGCTTTAATAAGTCTGTTTCAAACTGTTGCTGCGCCAAGCAGTTTAGCTCCCTGATGAAAAGGCCCCCACGACACACAGAATTTTATACATCTCTGGGCTCAAATGGAGCTGGTAAGGGAATTTCTCACCTGATACCCATAGTGCACAAGGGTCTTGGCTTTTCCCCAAAGGCCAACCCTCCCCTTGGACACCGCACCCCACTTTATTCCCTCTCCTGGCCTCAAACTTCACTCCTGCCTGTCTTTCTGCTGTTACCTTCTCTCTAGTGGATCGCTTCTACCCATGCACAGCCTGCAGGAATCCCTGCTACCTTACAAAGTTCTATTTATCCCACAGTTGCCTCAAACCAGGGCCCCGTCTCTCCCCTTCCTGTGTAACAGCAAAGCTCCAGTCCTGCAGAGGCCTCGGGTCAAGGTCACCCCTCAACAGTCCGGAAGGAGTTGGTGTCTCTCAGATCAGCTGCAACCTCCAAGGGCGAGGAGAACCATCCATTCTCATCTCTCCTCCTGTCCTCACCCCACTCCCTGTGCCAAGCCCACCCGCCTTGGGGTATTTTATACCTGCCTGCCCAGCTCATGAGAAAGTGAAGCCTCGGGTGGCTGGGATTACAGGTGTGCACCACCTTGCTGGCTTGAAATGTTTTAACCTGTTCTTCTCCCCCTCTCCGTACTGAGGATCCATCCACGGGCCTCTTTCGTAGCACTGAGCTCTTTCTACTTGGAGACACGGTCGTGCCACATTGTTGGAGATGCACCCATCCCTGGGTGATCCAGGAACCTCCATTTTCCCCTCTAATGCCTTCCTAGGAGTCCTCAGCTGATGCCTTGGCTCTAAACATTTTACTAGAAAAATTTAAAACGAATCTTCTGCCCAGCCTATTCCCCTGACTGCTGGACTCAGATATCCAAGTGTCTGCCAGGAATCTCAGCCCTGACACTCCAGAAGGGAGCCTCGCCTCACTCCACACTCTTTCCCCTCCTGTTCACGGAGTGCCCTGAGCTCCAAGCCCAGCAGTGCTTCTCTGTCTGCACTCACCCCCAGGTTCATCCACTCTCGGGGATGCCCAAGTAGCCGTCTCTAGCCTAGAATTCTCCCGAATTCCACACTTTACTTATTCTCTACACATCTCCACCTGGTTATCAGAGCGGTATCTCCATTTTAGCACGTCCCAAGCTGAAGTTGTGACCACTCGCCTCTCATAACCTAAGTTTCTTCTCGCTGATGTCCCCATTTCGAGGGACAACAGGACCATGCTGCCAGACGCTCGGGCCAAGAGCCCTAACATACATAATCAGTCTCTCTCTCTCTCTCTCTCTCTCTCTCTCTCTCTCCCCCAAACCCTAGAGCCAACCCATCAGCATATTTTATAGGCCCTACCTTCAAAAGCCACTGCTACTACTAGCTGATCCAACTATAATGCTGTCCCTCAGATTATTTGCAAGAAACTCCCAATGGTTTCCCCACTTCCGCCCTGGCCCTGCTATGAGCCATTCTTAACACCACAGACAGCAATTCCATTAACACGGCAGATGTGTTGGTCCTTGGTTCAGAAGCTCCCCATGACTCCCCAAATTAATAAAAAAATTCAAACTCCTACATGCAAAGACAGCTCTATGAAGTCTCATAAATGTAGACCCTGACGAACACTCTGACTTCAACTCCTCTTATAAATAAACAGCACACCAGCCATACAAATCCTCTGCCACAGGGCCTTTGAACGTCTTGTTCCCACTACCTGTCAAGCTCTCCCCACTCCTTCATTTCATTCAGGTCTCTGCTCAGTACGGCACCCCTTCCACAGTCATCCCTCCCTTCTTTTTCTCCATAGTTTGCCCATCTATTCACTGTCTCACCAAACTCAGATATCCAGCTACTGGACTTGCTTGGAACCTCTACAGAACTAAGTTCTCAAAGACCAAGGGCCTAGTTCCATTGTGTTTGCTGTTGCTCCCCCAGAAAGTAGAACACTGCCTAGCAGGTAACACAACGGCCCCAGTGCTTTGGGTATGAACCAATCCACGGACAAAGAAAGTACGGACAAAGAAAGTCAATAATAAAAAATTAGCTAGGTATGGCGGTACACATCCCTAATCCCAGCACTTAGGGAAAGTGAGGCAGGAGTTTGAGTCTGAGTGCCTTTCTCCACCTCCAACAACGTGGCAAAAGCCTGTCTCAAAATAAAAGAGGGCTGAGGATGTAGCTCAGTGGTAAAGCACCCTGGGTGCATCCTAAATACTGAGGGAGCAAAAAAAAAAAAAGAGCATTAAAACATTCAAGCCAGCAGGGTGGTGCATATCTGTAATGCCAGCTACTTGAAGCTTTCATGCTTTCTCATCTCCTTCCCACAATGACTAAAGCAGCAGACTAACAAGATCACAAAGATCCAAAGACTTTTATTCCATCTTCTTCTCACAAGAGGGACAGACACGTGCTCCAAATTACTAATCTTTTCTTTCTCAGGAAGATGAATAAGTGGAGTGGAATAAGAGCCTGATCCAGGATCCTGGGAAAGCTCCCTGCACCATGAAGACTGCTCTTCAGGTGATTTGTATCTGCAACTGGATTCCAGAACTACGTTACCAGATGACTGTCACCTGCGGCGTTCATTCAAACCAGATATTTACTATCCTAAGTAGAAAACTTAACACAGACGATTTATACTTGTTGCTTCCCACTTCACACCGAAAAATGTCTCAGAGATGAAGAAGAGGGGCAGAGAAGTTGCCGAAGAGTATACACGTCCACCTCACCGGATGTGTTAGAAATAAAATCTTGCCTCCAAACCCAGTTTAATCATATAGCATGCACTGGTGGGATCGCACATTTAATCAACGAAAGCGTAAGAATCCCCAGGAGAGCTTGTTAACCACACCCGAGCCCTATCCTAGGAGATTCTAATTTAGTGGGTCCGCAGTGGGGCTATATTCTGCCAGGATCTCAAGTAATTCCGATATAACTGCTTCCTGGGGTTTGGGAAGCAGATGCACAGAAAGGCCTTTGTGTATTGGTTCTCCTTCAGGAATTCACTCACCGATCCAGCCAGGAGGATAACTGGACCTCCCCGGCTGGCCCCCATAAACCACACGACCGTTTTTTCTCCTTCACAACACCCACAACTAAGCGTTATCCTGCTAGCTCTCACGTCTGTCCCCTCAAGCCCAACAGAACGTAAACCCCAAGAGTGCAAAGGCACTTTTATTACCCAGGGGCTCACCAATCAGAAAAGCCTCCAACCCAACGCCATTCAACAATCCCTTCCACTTCAGCCGTAAAACCTAACAGCGGCATTTCAGAGCGTCCCGCCGACAGGATCGGAAGAAGGACACGGATCCTGTCGCCCGCAGACCCTGCAACCCCAATGACCACCCTGGCTGTGGCCCCAACCTACCAACCCGCCGGTTCTGCCTTCAAGCCCAGGAAACGGAGTCTTAGCAAAAGCTCAGCCGTTACGATTCAAAGGTTCCTCGTTTTAAATAAGAGTTAAACCCTCTACTCCGAAAGCTGATTGGCCGGTGCTACAAGGACGCTGCTTCGTGATAGGCTCACAGAGAACGCGACGTCCTGATCACGTTCCGAAGAGCAGGCGACGCGCAGGCGTATTAGCGTGGAAGAACCCGGAAGTGGTGGACCCAACGGCCCTCCGGACTCAGGGCCGTTCCAGCCACTCCGTTGCTCTCCACCATCGGGCATTTGCCCGTGAAGCAGCCCCTTGGCACGAGGCTTTCCGCATAGGAGCTAAAGTCGGAGGAAGTGAAGGGACTTCTCGTACGTGCTAATAAAATGGGGAGGAAGGCAAGCGAGAGTGGGACAATCCCCAGCGCGGCACTCGGCTTGTCGTCCTGTGCGCTTGCGCAGTGAGCGTTCGCTCGGAGCGCTCGATTGGTCAGATACGCGCCTCCATTTTTCTAGGAGAGAGCGGGAGAAGATCAGGATCCGCGGGTACGGAGGTCCGGGGACGCAGGGAGAGTGGCTGATGCTGCTGGCTGGGGCCTTTAATGACGCCATGTGAAGGAATGGAGCGAAGCGGGAAGGGTCGGAAGCGAGGGGGGGAGGCGTGCACCCCTACGTGTTTCCCTAGCTGCGGGGCTGGGCCTGCGCACGCCCTCTTTCTCCCTCTTTCTCCGAGTGCCTCGCTGCCGCCTCCGGGAGAGTAGCGGGGTTCCCGGTAGGAGGGTGTCTGCGCTCTGACCTGGTCCTCCTCTGCCCATCCCGGGTCCTGGATCGGGATCTTCCCGTCCCACCCTCGAGCCTCAGTGTCCTCACTTGCGAACTGGAGATACTAGGTTTCTCCTATCTTGGCGAACGTAGGTTCTGTAGGAGTTGAGAAGTGGGGGCTCGACGACTTTTTTTGTGGGTTTTTTTTTTTTTTTTTT